GTTACGTTGTAGTTTAATGTTTTGTTAGTCTAGCCCACGAGACGCGCAGTTGCTGCGTTATTCATTCAAAATATTAGAGAAATATAGTAGTTCAATGCGTAGAAGAGCTTGATTAGGTTAAAACCGAAACCAACACACAGAACGCATATTCAGTGCATTTTCTAGACGGACAAATATGACTGATCACACAAGAGATGTATAGAAAGCCATGCAAAGTTAAAACAGTTTAAACTTTTAGAAAACACGTCACGAATTTGTGGAGGTTTATTCATTCTCACTGCGTCTCATATGTACCGAACGATATGAAACATTATATAGTTGATAAATTTTTTTAGCTATATCGCCCAGCCCTAGCCCCTTAAGTACCCCTGATTTAAACAGAGCATTGCATTAATTGGACAGTTTATGCAAGTTATGCAACTATTTCACTAAAAAGTTTATTGACTTGTACACAGATGTCTTAATTAATGCAACAATTTGTTAAATTATTACATACACTCTAAAAAAAGTGCAAAATTGTACAATAGTATCCTTAAAGGGACAACTTTGTACCTTATCTAGTCGGAAAAGGTTCATAGTAGTACCTTACATATATATATACAGTGGGTACGGAAAGTATTCAGACCTCCTTAAATGTTTCACTCTTTGTTATATTGCAGCCATTTGCTAAACTGAAAGGTACTAATATGCATCTTTAAGGGGGAGATATGGTACAAAGTTGTCAATTTAATGGTACTGCTGTAGTTAAATGTGGTTGTAGGTACAGTTTTTGCAATTCTTCTGACTGTTGCAATCATACAACAATGTATAACTGCTTCACATAACTTTAAATTTTACACAAAAATTGTGCTTGTGTTGCAAGAATGATGTCCATTCAAGGTACATCGATATTGCGCATTTTTAATGTGCCATATCGGGGTCTTCCATAATCTTCCCATTATTAAAGAATTCTGCTCATGCTTAGATCTCGAAGTCATTGGTAAATTATCAAACCGCTTCAAACATAATACTTTCGCTGTTTTTACATGCCCATTGGATTTCAGTTCAGTTTAGATCACACATGTGCTGATCTGTTTGCATAATTTATTCGAGTAAATCCTGCAATGATTTATTCCTGCCATTCTCTTTCTGTATCGCAGCGATCTTAGAGGGCGACAGCTTCGAGGAGGTTTATCATAAGGTGAAAACTGTGATCGAGGAGCAGTCAGGGCCTTATATCTGGATTCCCACCAGGGAGCGTCTGTGAGAGTCCACCCAGAGCCAAACCACCTCGCCCAGTCACCATTTGGCCTGCCTGCCCTGGACTGTGGAGCTCCGACTCGTAGAGCTCGCGAGAAACAGACAGAGAGGGAGAGATGGAGAGAGTGAAAGCGAGGGAGAGAAGTCACAGAGACACCAGGAAATGATGGAGTGGAACAGCACAGGAGCTGGCCACACCGCATCTGCCTCTCTTTTCCTCCTTTTCCTAGCTTTGTAACTTCCTTTTTCTGCTTTTAACTTCCTTTCTCTGCCTTTCTCTCAGTCCTTCTCTGTTTCTTTCTGGCTTTCTCTCTGAATAACGTCCTTTCAGACAGGACTGGTGAGCTGTTTTTCACGAACTGGGATGCTACAAAGAAATTTTGTATATTGTCAGATTCCCTCTCGCTCTCTTCGAACAAGACAGGAAGTGGAGAGAGATGAGCGACCGCCTTGGCTTTTACTGGAATGAGACGTTCAAGAGCTATTTCTGATTAAAGGAGCTCGTTTCACAGTACTAAAGGAGAATTGAACTGAAATATGAAAGTATATTTATCAGTATCAATAATGCGCTGAAATCTTCAATATCAAAGATATTACGACTTCTCAGAGACTGACGTTCACCCACAGTTATCAGCATCAAGGGCGTTTAATTCCTTTTAGAAATTTGAAGTGCTTGACGAGTGCTTCCTGAAATGCAGGAAGTACCGAGCTGGCGAAACTAAAACGTTTGCCTCAGTCCTTCGAATGCTCCCCTTAAACAGTTTGCAGCTAGTTCATCACATTGAATGGATAATAAGGAAGGAAAACGGGAAGACGCAGACTGTGACTTTCATTCTGCACATCATAGAAAGCCACACGCTTGATATTCCGGGGTCTGTTTTCTTTGATTTTCTTGCGCTTACATGTAAACATGCACATTTAGACACACGCCAACATAGACTTTGTAATGTTTGCCGCCTTCTATTTGGATCTTCTTGCAACAGCCAGATTGATGTTTTCCTTTGAGCTGAAATGTATTTGCTCGGTTGGATTATTTCCCTGAGTGCCACAGCTCTCAAACACAATGACTCCAGGCTGCTCTTTAATGTGCAATATCGGGCTCTTCCATAATCTTGTCATAATGTTATCGAATTTTAGCCATGCTTAGATCTTGAAGTCATCGGTAAATTATCAAACCGCTTCAAATGTAATACTTTCGCCGTTTTTTACACAGGATTTCAGTTTAGATCACACTCATGTGCTGAGTGGCTACGTTCACACCACAATCCAATTCATTATATATAAATTATTGATTTAAATGAATTTGTAAAAATGATTATAAATTATATATTCAGTAATCATATTGGGATATTTAATTATTTATTTAACACCTTGCCTTCCTTCATGTCAGTGGTTGTTTTCACTGTTCTCTGTCTTTTTCACAGCAAAGGTAAACCAAGCATCATATGACAAGTAGTAGCTTATTTTGATGAAATAGAACTTAAAAATTATTTAAATCTCAAATATTTCATTGTAGAATAGTAGATGTTTTGATAGTGGCCCTTTTTTTTTGGAGAATGCTTTTCTCATATAAGCTCAGGATAGTTGTTAGTGAAGGCATTGGGATGGTGTATGTATTTGTGGTGTCATCAGAAAATACAACACAATCTCATGGCAATTTGTAACTATAATAATTTGGTGAATTGGTGGCTAATTCGTATGAATTTGTACCAACCCATTCATACAGTTTTGTGCGATCAGCCTACTGACAGTTAAGTTTAAAACTGTAAAACTAAACTAAAAAAATAAAATGTACGTTTTCGTACAATCTACATCGTAGGAATTCATACGAAATTTCCACCTTGTGAAATAGTTATGTTGTCTCATAAGATGGGGTTGAAAAATCTGCAATGCCAAGTCATTTTTCTGCGACTCCAGAGTGAGTAGTCACATGGCGTTTACGGCTCCAAAAAAATCAGAGTTGGATCAGAGTTGAATTCAGTGTGATTTTTCGTTTGCCCCATTCAGCTGCAATGTGAACGTAGCCTTACTGGCCTTTCATTCAGCCCATCCCTAAACTCTCCGGACACACACACACACAGGTTTGTTTTTGTGAAAAGTGGGGACATCCCATAGGCGTAATGGTTTTTCTACTGTACAGACCGTATATTCTATTGCCCTACACCAACCCTACCCCTCACAGGAAACTTTGTGCTATTTCAGATTTTCAATACACTCCATTCTGTGTGATTTATATGCGTTTTGAAAAGTGGGGACATGGGGTAATGTCCTGAAAAGTCACCTTCTCCTTGTAATACCTATGTCATACCCTTGTCATTATACAAATTTATGTCCTCATTTGTCACAAAAACGCACACACACACACACACACACACACACACACAAATACTATCAGGAAAATGGTGTATTGTACAAAGTTGTTTTATGCTGTGTATCAGATTATAATTAACTCTTGTAATCAGACCAATGAGGCTACTTTGATGCATCTCAATGGCCAGTCAATGGACATCATCAAACCAGTTAATTGGTGGGTCGATGATGCTGCCGTCACCGAAGTGAAGAGGATCGGGTCTTAATGATGCTGGAGTTTTATTGGAATACGATCGCGGGGTCATTATGTTTAATGAGATAAATTAATGGTTGTAATGCCAGAGAATAATCAGCTTAGCTAGCTAAGTTAAACAATCCAGCCTGCCTCCAACTAATTACCCTTCTCAGAGCGAAACACTCATTTGTAAACAGTTTTACCCATAATTCTGTGAGGGTTGACAGAGCGCCCACTACAACCCTGGTCAACATGAGAATGGCAGAATGATAAATTGGATTTTTTACCCTTTTGTGCCATGACAGTGATGCACTAACAATCGATACGGTGCTTTGAGCTCAGAGGGCGTCATATTCAAGGTCTAAAGTAAGGAAGAAAACGATGGTTTGTCCAGAATTGCGGTCCAGGGGTTTGCATTTGATTTAGTGAGATTTCCTGTAAATCAATGCCATGAGCATTGCTATGGTGATTTATGGAAACAGACTTTGATTGAGACTATTGTGATCGAAAAAACTGGCACCGTTTGTGTCAGGCCAAAAAAAAGAGAGTCTACTAAGAAGATGAAGTGAAACACATTTGCACTTATTAAAGGGAAGATTTGATCAGACGTGATGAACAACAGAGGGTTTCTGGTAGAAAGCAGAGGAATACAGAGCGATCTGGTGGCTTGTTTACTTTCACTTATTTTCTTTTGGCTTTTTGCGTTTGAATTTCGATATTTACGTGTGTTTGGAGTGCAGTGACAGTTCTTTTCTTGCCGTTATTTTTATTTATAGATTTTATATAATTATTTAATTGTTTACTGCTTTGTTTACATCGGGGTTTTGTGTGAAGACTGAGATGCTTTTGCTGTGGTTTCCAAAGTGGAGCTGCACACAATCAAATGTGAAAACTGAAACTAAAAATTCAACTTTACTGTGAAATTAAATAGTAATAATAATAATAAAAACAAAAGAAAAGAAAAGAAAAAAAAAACTAAACTTGCACGCATTACAGATACTGATACTTTTATAAACATAGCCCATAAATAAATTTCCCAAATCATATTATTGGCCACACGAGAAATGAAAAATAATAGTGTATATTGCGGTTTGTATGAGCTGCACAAATGTGTGCGCACACACACATACACACAACACACACAATATATTACCAAGAGAAATATATGACTTCACTCTTACTAGAATGGATTATGAGTTGAATTTATTTATTTATTTATTTATTTGAAAGAATCAAATGTATTTTATCGATTTGTATTTGCCATAACATATTATTCTAACTATCCTGAACAGATTGAACATACTGCTTTTATTAAAAAAAAAAGAAAAAGAATAATTATGAAAATACAACAATGCCATCTGATGCAAAGTATATTTAAATGATTTATCTTAAAAGAGAGATTTACCAATGACAGTATCGGATTATACAAATGTTTTATTTCAGTGAGATGCTTGTTGTAAATTAGCTACAAAAATAATAAAGCTAATTATATTAATAAGTGTTTTGTTGAAGCTTTTTTTATGGTGTGAATGGGTAATAACAGTGTGGCTGTAATCTCAATTGCATACTACCATACTATGCATACTATTTTTGCAGTATGCATATTGTATTCCAATATGTAGATGAGTTTGTTTGTTCATCAGAACAGATTTAGAGAAATGTAGCATTACATCACATGCTCAGCAATGGATCCTCTGCAGTGAATGGGTGCCGTCAGAATGGGACTCCAAACAGCTGATAAAAACATCACAATAATCCACATGACTCCAGTCCATCAATTAACATCTTGTGAATTGAAAAGTTATGTGTTAATTCATCAAGACGTTTAAACTTAAAACTGTTGTTTCTAGCTAAAATATGAGTCCTCTGTCCAAAATATTGCTTCCTTCAGTGAAAATTGCCGTCTCTTCTGAATTGAGAGAGAAATATGCACAGATCAAGCACCGTTTACAAGTGAAAACTGTTGGATTATGAACTATTTGGTCAGAAGCGATGTTTAAAGTTAAAAATGCCTTAATGGTGGATTTGTTTCTTACAAACACACAGCTGGAGTCGTGTGGATTACTTGTGGATTACTGTGATGTTTTTATCAGCTGTTTGGACTCTCATTCTGACGGCACCCATTCACTGCTGAGGATACACTGGTGAGCAAGTGATGGAATGCTAAATTTCTCCAAATCTGTCCTGATGAAGAAACAAACTCATCTATCATTCATATATCATTTATTATCATGGAAATACATACATTTTTGCAGTTTTTATTAGTATAATTATTTAAACGTAATCAACAAATTAAGAAAAGGGTTGCAACTCATTCTGGATTCATCCAATTACAATGAAAATGGAAGGTCAAGTTAAGTAATTTGCAGAAGTACACATACGATATTAAGAGCAAACGTAAGACTAGTTTGTTACTCTGACCATGTATCATAAGGTCACTGTGTTGTACCAGCCAGCAGGGTGAGCTGTCGAGCTATTTGTCAACTTCCCTGTGCACTTTTACTGTCCAGAATTTTCCAGGCCTCTTCTGAAATCCAACTCAACTGAATCTATATTTATTTGATACTCATTTAATTTACTCTTAACAAAGGCCTGAACAAAAAACAGTCTATTCTGTGCTTGCTCAGCTATGTTCAACTTGAATGTGTATATATTCGGTCTGTCTCTCCATCAACTAAGGGGGTTGCACCCTCTTCCTGTGAGGAAGTCGAACAACAAAGATGCTTCCTTACTACCCTGATATACAGTAACCTGTGTGAGAGTGTTTTTCATGGCTGCTGCTAACCTTCATGGCGCGATGGATGAATTATCGGCCAAAATGTGGCTTTCAACCTATCAGTGCGGTCAAACCTAATTAGCCGCAACACACACACGCAAACAGAAATTTTGTGGTTTATGCAAATCATCACTATTTAAATCAAGCAGATGTCTCAAGGTGTGTGTGCAGCAGTACAGAAGGTGAAATTAAATCATATGGTGAGATTACAGTGTGAAGGATGGATTGGACGTGTGTGTGTGTGTGTGTTGAGTCTCACCTGAGGGAAGCATTCAGACTGTCAATTGCTTTATTTATCAGCTATGGCTGTCAGAAAGCATTCAGTCATGGCTCTCAGTCAGACTAATGGAACAGACAGAGAGAAAGAGAGAGAGATGACTGGAGTATAGACTGGAAAAGGGGTCAAGGAGAAACATAAAGAGTGAGGAACATGAAATGGTGTTTTCTAACAAACTTGTGCAGGGATATGAAAGAAAACAGATTGGGGATTGATCTTGAGACTAGTGATGTTATTATGTATTCATCGTGGAAATTAAGGAAATCTAATTATGCAAAAGGAGTAGTTTGCCTAGAAATGACAATTTTGTCATTCATTCACCCTCATGTTAATCCGAACCTGCATTACTTTTCTTTCTTCAAAAGAACATAAAACATGTTGGGCAGAATGTTATGGACTGACAGCCTCATTCTTCATTGCCTTTCATAGCATCATTTTTTTCCATACAATGAGAGTAAGCAGTGAACGAGGCTGTCATTCTTCCTAATATCTCCTTTTGTGTTCTACAGAAGAAAGACATATGGGTTTGGAAGAACATGACGGTGAGAATGATTCTACTAAATCAAATTTTCATTTTTGGGAGTGCCATTCCTTTGAGATACAAAGAACTGAAGAAATGAACATTTATAATGAATCTTATATACCTAAGTATAAAAGTAGAACAGTAAAATGAAAGATGGTAAACAAATGGTTTTATCCTA